CTGGATCAAAACACACAGCCTTCTGCATTCAAGTCACGTCTCCTGTTAATAGGCTCTAATAATGTCTGCACATCTCAGCTTTTTCCCAATCCCCAAACTTCAAAAGACATTTTATGTGATCCTCCACAAGATTGTAGAGAGGAGTAGAGCTGTTAGACCCTGAGGACACAAGGATGCCTTCACACATCTCATTGCCGCTTTGCTACTGAATTAATCAATTTTCTCACTTTCCGTCACAGATTGAATAACAACACACGATTCCCTCCCAAACCACCAAGTTTTCTGAGGGTTGTTTACACCCACGAAACCCCTGCCCCCAAACGCACAACTTCAACACAGTTTAAAAGTAATTCGTGAATGAAAGGCGAGTACATGTGTCCCAGGATAATGTTGCAGGATCCGATCTGAGTCCATCAATGGGAAACAGAGGTTCTGCCATATCTCCGTCGGAGCCTGAATCTGCGGAGGAAAATGAGCTGGAAGGGGACCCTAAGGATGTTGAGGGAGAGGGGTCTGTGGCTTCAGAGGAATGTGGGGAAGAGCAGGCCGAGGCAGGCCAGGGTCCTTCAGCAGTGGGACAGGCTGAACAGGAGAGGCAGAGTTCAGGCGATGAGCAAGGGCCACCCCCTCCTGATCCTAGAGCACGGAGAGTGGAGAGAATGAGGGAACAATGCAGGTAGGCTCAACTACTCAGGAGGAGAGCGTCCCGCCCCTCTCCACAAAGCATACCTGGAGACTGAGATTTAAGGAGTTGCTGTGGGGAGAGGCATTTGTCGGGAACAAATGCTGATTCCTTGGAGTGTTGTGTGTGTTGTTGCTGATCTCTTGTTCTGTGACTTCTGCTTGGAAACTCGGAAACTCTGACCATTGGACTGGCCGACAATGTTGCCTAGATGTTCAAAGATCTCTGACTGTATTGTGGCTTCCCTTTTGAAACTGCTCAGGCAAGCGTGTATTCACACAGACTCATTAGGTTTATGATGTATGTGTCATTCCTTGTTATCTCCATGGCCTTGAGTAAATTCCTCTCCTAATCAGACCGTATGTGAAACTACTTGCAGCCAGCGGTGGCTGAAGGTGTGTGTGTCTTCCTTTGTTTGGAGGCTTGCCAGAAACGTGGGAGCATTTGGGGAAAATTTGGAGCAATTAAAGGGTGGTTTGAATTGCCAACTGACTGCCTTGCCTCTGTGCTGTGCCCTGGGTCATCACAGGTTCTGTCTTCAGAGTTTTCAGACCAGGAGAACATGGTAGATTTCAGAAAGAGCCGGCATAGTCATACTCCACTCAGTATCAAGAATGCAGCTGTAGAGGTGGTCAACAGTATTAAGTATCTGGGGGTGCAGATAGCTAACAATCTGAATTGGTCTCCCCACATGTCATCCTTATTGAATCATGCAAACCAGTGGGATGCAATGAAATCACATTTTAATGTATGCTGATTAGTGTACATTCAAAGTGACAATAAAGTCATTATTCCAGGGGTCTTCAAACTTGGCCCTTTTATGACACGTGGATTTCAACTCCCAGAATTCCTCAGCCAGGCACGCTGGCTGAGGAATTCTGGGAGTTGAAGTCCACAAGTCATAAAAGGGCCAGGTTTGAAGCCCCTGTTCTATTCTATTCTATTCTGTTATGTTCTGTTCTATATTCTGTTCTATTCTATTGTACTTTAGTCTATATACTCTACTCTACTCTACGCTATTCTATCCAAAGGAATTCAATCATTTTTCACTAGATTTCTGATTGTTACAAACATTTCAACCACATAGATTCATAGAACTGTTGTTGGATTTTTTATTTTATTTTATCATAAGCTTCACCCTATATACCTTGCACATTTACAGAACACTATTATGAATGGGTGAATCCATTTATTTCCAATCAGGATCATGTTCTCTTTTGTTCACCCACAAGTAAGATCAGTTTGTTGTTGTCGTTTTTTTTTTTGTTTAAAAAAATTGTTTGAGTGAAACCAACAATTAAGCAATTGTTTAAATATCATTTCAAAAAAATACTTGTTCTCCAGGGAAGGTTTTTTTCTTTTTCTTTTTTTGAATACACAGATAATTTGAGTGAGCATTACCCTGAGATGTTCAGAAACCGTCAAAATCCGTGGCTCGGTTCCAATGTCAGGTGTTGATTAAATCAGTTTGCGATAGTTTCATAAAAGTTAAATCTCCTTGTATGGTGCCAGGAAGGCAGCCTTGAGAATATTCAGAAGCTCTGTTATACAAAGAGGGAAGTGTTTCTTAAGTCCTGGGAGGGAGATACGAGTCAGAAGAGGCTGAGGCTGCTTCCTCTCTGACTCAGTGAAGTGTAACAAGAAGGGAAGGTGTCTGCTTGGGTCCAGATGTAACTGTGTACACTTCACTGTGTAACAAGAAGGGAAGGTAAACCCAAGCAGACATCTGGAATCCTTCATTCTCTCTGCGCTGTTTTCCTACAGACGTTTCATTATTCAACTAGGTAACATCATCAGTGCTAAACGAGAGTGGAGCTTGAAGCAGGGAGAGGAGGAGGAGGAGGAGGAGGAGGAGGAGGAGGAGGAGGAGGAGGAGGAGGAGGAGGAGGAGGAGGAGGAGGACACCAGTGGGGTCCTTGGTGCTCTCTGAGCTTGGTTGTTTCCTTAGAGATGTTTCATTACCAAACTAGGTTACATCAGTGCTAGAAGGGAGAGGGTTTACATAGAGGAGGAGGAGGTGGAGGTGGTGGTGGTGGTGGAGGAGGAGGAGGAGAAGGAGGAGGACTATGTGGTCCTTAGTGCCCTCTGAGCTGGGTTGTTTTCTTGCAGACATTTCATGACCCAACTAGGTAATATCATCAGAGCTAGAAGGGAATGGGGTTTGCAGAGAGGAGGAGGAGGAGGAGGAGGTGAAGTTTGTGGAGGAGGAGGAGGAGGAGGAGGAGGAGGAGGAGGAGGAGGAGGAGGAGGAGGAGGAAGAAGAAGAAGAGGAGGAGGTGGTGGTGGTCTATGCAGTCCATGGTGCCCTCTGACATTGGTTGTTTTCTTGTAAATATTTCATTACCAAACTAGGTTACATCATCAGTGCTAGAACAGAGTGGGGTTTGGGAGGAGGAGGAGGAGGACGACGACTGTGGAGTCCTTGGTTCTCTCTGAGCTTGGTGGTTTTCTTGCAGACATTTCATGACCCAACTAGGTAACATCATCAGAGCTAGAAGGGAATGGGGTTTGCAGAGAGGAGGAGGAGGAGGTGAAGTTTGTGGAGGAGGAGGAGGACCATTACTGTCAATTTGCAATTCAAATCTTGGCTAATTTGCTACTCTGAAAATGAGGGAGCTAGATCAAACATCTTGTCGTCCTCCTCCTCTTCTCCTATAGCACTGCTGATGTTACTTAGTTGTTCAGTGAGTAACCCGGTTGTTAAGTGAATCTGCCTTCCCCTTTGACTTTGCTCACCAGAAGGTCGCAAAAGGGGATCACGTGACCCCAGGACCCTGCAACCGTCATAAACGTGAGTTAGTGGCCAAGCGTCTGAACCTTGATCACGTAGCCTGGGGGAATGTTGCAGTGGTCACAAGGGTGAAAAAGAGTCAATGGTCACTTTTTTCCAGTGCCGTTGTAACTTCGGTCGCTAAATGAACCGTTGTAAGTTGTAGGGCTACCTGCATTGATAATGGGGTCGTGTGATCGCCATTCGCAACTTTCCCCACCCGCTTCTGACAATGGGAGAAGCCGTATTTGTTTAACGGCCGTGTGACTGGCTGAAAGACGGCGGTGATTCGCTGTGGTAAAAACTGTGATTTAAAAAAATTCATAAAATTAGATGCGACTCATTGAACGACCAACTTGCTTCGCTGCGGGAACTCTGGCCCCGCTTACTGTTGTTAAGTCCAGGACTACCTGTAAGTCGTAAGTTGAGGACCTGCACTTTAGACCTGTGGTTGACCTCTCCGTGCTGCTTGTTCCTCACCAACCTCCTGTTGCTGGGACTACTGAATGCCTACTTTTTTTCCCAATCCTTGAGAAACAGTCAGAAGATTGAGGACACAGATAAACCTCCAAGTGGCCACAAGGACTCTCTAAAAGAATGCAAATGACCAGCGGTCTGCAAGGAGTATAAATCCTTTATAAATATAAAGAGTGGCCTTTGTTTTTTAAATGTAGGTGGACTGCTGAATCTTGTCCTGATGGGTTTGTTCTCCTATGTTGTACCCAGCAAGTGGCCTCAACGGCTCTCTAAAAGAATGCAAATGACCAGCGGTCTGCAAGGAGTATAAATCCTTTATAAATATAAAGAGTGGCCTTTGTTTTTTAAATGTAGGTGGACTGCTGAATCTTGTCCTGATGGGTTTGTTCTCCTATGTTGTACCCAGCAAGTGGCCTCAACAGCTGTCTAAAAGAAAGCAAATGACTAGCAGTCTGCAAGGAGTATAAATCCTTTATAAATATAAAGAGTGGCCTTTGTTTTTTAAATGTAGGTGAACTGCTGAATCTTGTCCTGATGGGTTTGGTCTCCTATGTTGTACCCTGCAAGTGGCCTCAATGGCTCTCTAAAAGAAGGCAAATGACCAGCTGTCTGCAAAAGGAGTATAAATCCTTCCATTCCCCACCATCCCGTCAGAACTGAAGAAGCTTCTTGGATGAGAAGTGAAATGTCTTCAAAGAAAAACAAAGGAAGTCCAGTTGCCTCCTGGAAAAAGCACCTTTGGGACAACCCTGACATGGATGGCCGATAACCTCCATAGACGTTTAGCTATGCTGTCAGGGTTCTGACAGATGAAACACTTCAAAAGAACTTCGAGGCATTGTTTACCTTAAAGAATCTTTTATTTGAGTAGCATAACATCGGTAGTGCATAATCGAAGCCAAAAACGGAATTCCCCTCCCCTGGGCACACAGTATCAAAGCACGATTCCCTCCTCCAATTAACAGTCATAAATCACATTCCCCAATTAGCGTGAAGCGCGGGCCTCCTCTCCAGTTCTCCAGCCCGGCCAATTCCTTATCAGCTCTGGTTACAATAACCTTGATTCTCACGCTAAGTTTAGTGTTGTTATGATTAGCTGGACTCTCGTTCACATCCTCCCTCCCAGCATAATCTAACTCTAAAAGCAAAAGGTAAAAGATGGCTACATTTCCCTCTGTTGTCAATGCAAAAACATCCGCTGTTAGCAGCACATATGCACTTTGGGATGGAACCCCTTCGAATGGGGCGGGAGCGTGAATGGATTTCCAGAAAACATTGCAGACTAGAGGAACTGTTTGCGTTTCAGTGTGAGATGCAGACAACACAGACGCACCCCCAACAGCCTGCGCCCGTCGTCAACAGGGAAGGGACCCAGGGCGGTAAACATTCTGCAGCCAAGGCTTCACACCCATTAGGTGACCCCTGAGGACACAGATAAAACCTCCAAGTGGCCTCAATGACTCTCTAAAAGGACACAAATGACCAACTGGAAGGAGTATAAATCCTTCCGTTCCCCACCATCCGGTCAGAGCTGAAGAAGCTTCTGGGATGAGAAGCGAAACGTCTTCAAAGAAAAATCAAGAAAGTCCAGTTGCCTCCTGAAAAAGCATCTTTGGGACAGTCAGAAGGCCCTACCTGTGAAAAAATCAGCCGGGTTTATTTCTTGATGGAAACCGCGATGATGATGATGAAGATCAGAAGAACGACCAGCCCAGCAGAGATAACACAACATTTCACTCTCCTTGCTCGCTGCTGAGGAGGACAAAAGAGATGAAGATCAATTTTACGGGATGTGACACACATTAACAGGTTATCTTTTAACACCGAGAACTCTTGACGTGCTCTAAGGAGGGGAGAAAAGGGAGTTTGTGAACCACCTGATGGGTGGACAAGAGAATCAATTTTCCCCCTTAAAAATTAACACAGGGACATGGAGAAAGAAACTGTGATTCTCTTAGGGATCGGTCATGGTTTCAGCCCAGAATGTGTGAAATTGGTTGGGGGTCTCCAGAAACTGCTACTACTTTTTTTTTTTAAACAATCTCTGTGGTGTACTTGAGTCCAGCATTGTGTGATTTATGTTAATAAACGCTATTGACATTTTCCTCCGTTAATTCTGTCTCAGGAGAGATAGCTAATGAAGATCTCTCCATTATATTCCTTTCTTCCCTCCCTCCCACAATTTATTTCCTTCCTTCCTTCCTTCCTTCCTTCCTTCCTTCCTTCCTTCCTTCCTTCCTTCCTTCCTTCCTTCCTTCCTTCCACATTTCTTTCCTTCCTTCTCTCCCACATATTTCCTTCTTTCCTTCTCTCCCTCCCACACATTTCCTTCCTTCCTTCTTCCCTCCTCCCACTTCCTTCCTTCCTTCTCTCCCACATATCTCCTTCTTTCCTTCCCTCCCTCTGACATTTCCTTCCTCCCTCCCTTCCTCCCACACATTTATTTCCTTCCTTCTTCCCTCCCTCCCACATTTCCTTCCTCCCTCCCACATTTCCTCCCTTCCTTCCTCCCTCCCACACTTCCTTCCTCCCATAAAATTCCTTCCTTCCCTCCCTCACATTTATTTCCTTCCTTCCTTCCTTCCCTCTCTCCCTTCCTCCCACATTTCCTTCCTTCTTCCTTCCTTCTCATACATTTCCTTCCTTCCCTCCCTCCCTCATTTCCTTCCTTTCTTTCTCCCTCCATTTCCTTCCTTCCTTCCCACATTTCCTTCCATCCATCCTTCTCTCCCTTCCTCCCACATTTCCTTCCTTCCTTCCTCCCTCCCACATTTCCTTCCTTCCTTTCCTCCCTCCCTCCCTCCCTCCCTCCCTCATTTCCTTCCTTCCCTCCCTCCCTCCCACATTTCCTTCCTTCCTTCCCTCCCTTCCTCCCACATTTCCTTCCTTCCTCTCTCCCTCCCATGCATTTATTTCCTTCCTTCCCTCCCTTCCTCCTACATTTCCTTCCTCCCTCCCTCCCACATTTTTCCTTCCCTCCCTCTCTCCCTCCCACACATTTCTTTCCTTTCTACCTTCCCTCCCTCCCTCCCACACATTTTTCCTTCCTTCCTCCCTCCTTCACATTTATTTCCTTCCTTGCTTCCCTCTCCCTTCCTCCCACATTTCCTTCCTTCCCAGACATTTCCTTCCTTCCCTCCCTCCCTCATTTCCTTCCTTTCTTCCTCCCTCTTACATTTCCTTCCTTCCTTCCCACATTTCCTTCCTTCCTTCCTCCCTCCCATATTTCCTTCCTTCCATCCATCCTTCCCTCCCTTCCTCCCACCTTTCCTTCCTTCCTTCCTCCTTTCCTCCCACATTTCCTTCCTTCCTCCTTCCCTCCCACATTTCCTTCCTTCCTTTCCTTCTTTCCTCCCTCCCTCCCTCCCATTTATTTCCTTCCTTCCATTCCTCCCTCCCACACATTTCCCTTCCTTCCTCCCTCCCTCCCATTTATTTCCTTCCTTCCGTTACTCCTTCCCACACATTTCCTTCCTTCCTTCCTCCCTCCCTCCCTCCCTTCCTCCCTTCCAAAATTGCTTCTTTTTATGTACTGCTTCCTGTAGAGACTGAACTGAATCCAATATTATACTTTTCGTTATTGTCTGCGGTCAGACCTATGATCCAGTATTGCCCTCTCATTTTCGAGTCAAGTCAGGGGTTATCCTATCCTTCATAAAGGGGAAGGCAAGGCAACCTTCTGCATCTTAAAAAGATACCCACCTCTTTTCTTCTTGACCTTTGAAGAGAGAAGTTTCCTTCTCCAGAAACACCACATTGCTGTTAAATCACCACTTCAGCGCTGGAGTTCGCAAAGGTCAATAATATTAATTATTTTTTCCTACCTTTTAAAGTGGGGGATATTGATTTAAATCAGCAACTGGGGTTTTTTTTTTTTTTTTACAATGGCATTTGCTAGATCAATCTCTAGAAATTAGTTGGGATTATTGGCTGCTGATCTGCACAAACCACTGTTGGACGTCTCTGTAACATTATTCCATACTCTGCAACTTGTTTTTTTTTTATTTATTAAGTTTATGGCCGCCCATGAAACTCTTGAGCGATTCCCTTAAATGTACCCTGATTTAGCTTGTGTTAGTGGGTCCCCCCCTCCCTTCTCTGAATCACATTTGTGATTCTTGCATTTGGGAATCAGGTGGTGGGGAAAACCAACGTACAGGCCGGATTTGGCCATGGAAAAACCTCAGGGTGGTCAAATGAGGGAACGTGGACCTCTCAGTGATAATTTGAGGGAGGAAGGAAGGAGAGAAATGGCTTAAACCCTAAAATGGAGGAAGAACATTATGCCTCCTCAACAACTAAAGAGACAACGCCTGTTCATCAAGGTCTTAGACTTTGACCCTAGTCCTGTCTTTCATAGCAAAGGGATTGGTTTTCTGACAATATCACTAAAAGGAAAATCAGAACTACTGCCATGAATTCATTTATCTTCCAAGTCAGATCTCCATTATCTTCCTTCTTTCCTTCCTACCTTCATCCATCCATCCATCCATCCATCCATTATCTCTCCTTCTCATATATTTCCTTCCTTCCCTCCCTCCCTCCCTCCCTCCCTCCCTCCCAGACATTTCTTTCCTTCCTACCTTTGTTCCACCCTCATACATTTCCTTCCTTCCTTCCTAAATTCCTTCCTACCTTCCTTCATCCATCCATCCATCCATCCATCCATCCATCCATTATCTCTCCTTCTCATATATTTCCTTCCTTCCCTCCTTCCCTCCCTCCCTCCCTCCCAGACATTTCTTTCCTTCCTACCTTTGTTCCACCCTCATACATTTCCTTCCTTCCTTCCTAAATTCCTTCCTACCTTCCTTCATCCATCCATCCATCCTCTCCCTCTCATAAATTTCCTTCCTTCCTTCCTTCCTTCCTTCCTTCCTTCCTTCCTTCCTTCCTTCCTTCCTTCCTCTCATACATTTCCTTCCTTCCTTCATCTATCCATCATCCCTCTCCTATATTTCCTTCCTTCCTTCCTTCCTTCCTTCCTTCCTTCCTCCATCCATCCATCCATCATCTCTCCCTCTCCTACATTTCCTTCCTTCCTTCCTCTCATACATTTCCTTCCTTCCTTCCTTCCTTCCTTCCTTCCTTCCTTCCTTCCTTCCTTCCTTCCTTCCTCTCATACATTTCCTTCCTTCATCTATCCATCATCCCTCTCCTACATTTCCTTCCTTCCTTCCTTCCTCCATCCATCCATCATCTCTCCCTCTCCTACATTTCCTTCCTTCCTTCCTTCCTTCCTTCCTTCATCATCTCTCCCTCTCCTACACTTCCTTCCTTCCTTCCTTCCTTTCTCTCCTACATTTTCTTCCTTCCTTCATCCATCCATCATCCCTCTCCTCCATTTCCTTCCTTCCTTCCTTCCTTCCTCCGTCCATCCATCATCTCTCCCTCTCCTCCATTTCCTTCCTTCCTTCCTTCCTCCATCCATCCATCATCTCTCCCTTCCTTCCTTCCTTCTTTCCTTCTTTCCTTCCTTCCTCTCCATTTCCTTCCTTCATCCATCCATCATCCCTCTCCTACATTTCCTTCCTTCCTTCCTTCCTTCCTCCCTCCCTCCCTCCCTCCCTCCCTCCCTCCCTCCCTCCCGGACACCTTAACAAGTGCAATAATGCGAGGAAGGAACCTATGTGCAAAAGCAAAGTACACTGCACTCTGCAACTTACCCTCCACAGAAACAAATGTATCTGCTAGCTAAGACAAATATGCAGAGATCAATGCATAAAGGTTTTTGTTTACGTTACAGAGAATCAAATATGCCGAAAATGCGAGAAGAATTTGTTCCAACCCCAAACTTACAGCCTGGAGTATGCGACACGGAATTAAACCCCTGATGAGATGTTCCCTAACTGCTGGGTCAAAGAGCTGTTAAACCAGCAAGTTGCTCAGCAAGAGACTGAAGCCCCCCTGTGCCTGTTCCGCATGGAGGAGGTAAACCATGTCCCTTTCCGAATTCATTCTCCCTTCCAAGACAATAGGCCAGGGGTCTTCAAACTTGGCCCTTTTATGACTTGTGGACTTCAACTCCCAGAATTCCTCAGCCAGCAACCTGGCAGCTTTAAGACTCAGCAATGCTGGCTGAGGAATTCTGGGAGTTGAAGTCCACAAGTCAAAAAAGGGCCAAGTTTGAAGACCCCCGTCTTAAATCTAACAAACAAAATGGAGGCTGGCTGAGGAATTCTGGGAGTTGAAGTCCACAAGTCATAAAAGGGCCAAGTTTGAAGACCCCTGTCTTAAATCTAACAAACAAAATGCAGGCTGGCTGAGGAATTCTGGGAGTTGAAGTCCACAAGTCATAAAAGGGCCAAGTTTGAAGACCCCTGTCTTAAATCTAATGAACAAAATGGAGGCTGGCTGAGGAATTCTGGGAGTTGAAGTCCACAAGTCATAAAAGGGCCAGGTTTGAAGATCCCTGCAATAAGGCAGACTCCTAGCGCCCAGGGCTGCATTAAGTTTTGAGGTCCGCGTTAAATTTTGAAAACTTTTTTCTCCTTCTTTGAACTCCGTCAGACCCACTCAGACCCCCCCACTTATTCGATACTCAGGTGGTGGCTGGAGGGACGATGCAAGTGAAAGTGATTACCCCCCCCCAAAAAAAGTGGATTAAAGCTGAAGAGATTACATTAACAAAAAAATAAAGAAATAAATACATCTGCATGTTAAATGAAGCTGTCAAGACCAGGGATGTGTTAATGCTGAAAGACAGCCAAAAGAGTGGAGGTGACCCCTTCCGACGGAAGTCGAATTATATG